AATACAAGAATGAGGTCACAAAAAGGTGGCGTTCATTTTTAGTAAACAGCACCTCTATGTTTCCTACTATAGTAGGACAAAGAGTACTTTTTACACTGCTGGAATTAACAAGCTGTAGGGCACCCTTCCCAACTGAAACACATCAGATAAAATTTTCCCTTCAACAGTGACTGTCCCTTGACACCACAAAAAGCTACTTTCTCAAAACAATCACCTATTCCTTAAAAAAGGTCTATTTTATTTATTTATTTATTTATTTAAGATTTTATTTATTTGACAGAGAGATATAGCGAGAGGGAACACAAGCAGGGGGAGTGGCAGAGGGAGAGGAGGAGACTGATGCGGGGCTCAATCCCAGGACCCTGGGATCATGACCTGAGCCGAAGGCAGACGCTTAACAACTGAGCCACCCAGGTGCCCCGAGAAGGTCTATTTTAAAAAATGACTGTCACTAGACAATTGTGGTCTTATTATTCTTCTAAATGAGGCAACAGAACCCCTTTAGCTTGTTCAGTCTGCAAAGAAATCTTTCCCCATTCCTAACTGTGAGTCTCCTCAGTGGACACAAGGACGCTTCCAGGGCAAAGGACAGACTAGCAAAGAAAGAGGGCAGATAACGCAGGGGTTTCTGGGAGTTCCATTCGTGACACAGCTGAAGGTTAACATTTCACATCACAAAGGATGTCTGGAGACGGCCCTGCTTTGACAAAGCCCCAATGCCTGGCATTAAGGTGTCCAAGAAGACCAGGAACACCCAGAGCCCTGGTGTAACGAGACTAATGGGACGATTGTGCATTTGGGCACACCATGCCATTGTTTCTGTCAAGAGAAACTTGCGTAATAGGCCCATGTCTGAGTTTAGGTTTGTGTAGGTGAAAAGAAGTCTCCTGCAAAGCTTTGACTTTGAAAACATTTGTAGAGAGAATAGAAACAATCAAGGCTTTTTCTTCACTGGAAACTAGACTTTTGACTATTACGGGCTGAAGGAAGCTTTCTTGGATCTGTCCTTCCCTGATGGTATAAAAAGCATTTCCGCTTCTTAATTTTTTATGATGATTCTTAAGACACTGATGGAAAAAGTTCCAACACCTTCGAAATGGTACTCTTAATATTAACTTGGTCCACAATCTACCCCAAAATGCATCCGACTTTACACTGGACCCAATATCTCAGAGAACCTCTGCTTCTGTCAAGAACAAGATATAATCAACAAAAGCTCATAAAGTCAACTATATAAACTTTGAAACATATGCCACCTTTAAAAAAATTTTTTTTAAAGATTTTATTTATTTATTTGAGAGAGAGAGCACATACGTGTGTGAGGGGGGCGGGCAGAGGGAGAGAGAGAAGCAGACTCCCCTCTGAGCAGGGAGCCCAAAGCCAGGCTGGATCCCAGGACCCTGAGATCATGACCTGAGCCAAAGGCAGACGCTTAACCGACTGAGCCACCCAGGTGCCCCCATATCCCACCTTTAAAAAAAACTTTTATTTTAAACTAATTATAGACTCAGAGGCATTTGTAAAAATAGTACAGAGAGTTCCCTTTACTCTTCCTCAGCTTCCAAGTGTAACGTGTTGCATCACCATAGCACATTATCAAAACCAGGCAATTGACACTGACATCGGTATTATTGCCATTATTCATTTTGATATTTGATGTCTAAAAATAAAAACCTAAAGTCCTAAAGCCTGAGAAAAAGAATGAGTTCCATCTCCTGCTAAGATCTACTACTATCAGGTTCAAGTTCTCCATGCTCCAGCCTGCTCAGGCTATTTTGGTTTTGTAACACCCATGCCTTCTTTGAGCGAAGAAATGCTGCCTCCTGTAAGACTTGCTAATCCCTCTTGAATACACAGATCAGGCCTCCCTTGTCCCTCCCTCCCTGTGCCGAACAGACAATTTCTATCGTTCTACCAGAAGGCGAAGGTTGACTCTCTGGGCGTCTCTCCTGGTGCTATTCTTAAATGTTTTTTTTTAACTTTTTATTTTGAAATAACTATATATTCACAGAAAGTTGCAAAAATAGTACAGAGAAGTCTTTGGTACCCTTCAGCCAGTTTCTCCCAGTGGTTATTTAAGGCTCGGGTATTAGTTTACTACATTTGGAAAAGATAATCAAGTCCTGTTGTTTTGTTTTGTCTTTTTGTTAAAGTAGGAAACACCAAAACTTTTCTTTACTCTTTTTGTCCAGTGAAAGAAAATCTATTATAGCTGAGACTCTTATTCAAGAGATTGGGGCTAATTGCTAACCAGTTAATTGAAAATGTAGAAACGATAAAAAAAAATGACACACAGATCTTACATTCCTCATTTTAATTTGGCTCATGTAAAGGTGTTTGTTCTCCAATCTTTTGACATAGAGTTGCAGAAAAAAAAAATCTATGCTTCAGTGGAAAACAATGCATCATCTGTAGTTTACTCTTCTGCCTTATCAGATCGATTCTATGGGAGCTATTTTGTAAATCTGCAGCGTGGGTAACTGATACACATGCAAATTATGTCCTGTCTGGTAGAGATGGACTTCCCTTGCCCCTGTGGAAAAGCCAGTCTGTGTCCATTTGCACATTTAATTCAACATTATTTTACTCCATTTGACATTTTCAAAAACTTTGCCTTTGAAGTGGTTACAACATCTGCCTGGTTCCTTCATTTGACGAGTTTAATGGAATTTTCACATATGTTCATTGTTATATCTGAATGAGAGTCATGATTTTATCTTTTTCTGGAACATATCAGAATTAAGGCTTTTTCTTTGTCTATTTGTCCGCTGTTGGGAGTTGCTTCTTTTTCCTTGAAAAATTGCACTCATAACACAGACGACTTCCGTTTCACTCTGTGTAAGGTGGAGGTAGAGCGTAAAGATAGATGCATTAGAGTGCACCTGGGTGGCTCAGTTGTTAAGCGTCTGCCTTCAGCTCAGGTCATGATGCCGGGGTCCTGGGATCAAGTCCCACATCGGGTTCCCTGCTCGGCAGGAAGCCTGCTTCTCCCTCTCCCACTCCCCCTGCTTGGGTTCCCTCTCTTGCTGTGTCCCTCTCTGTCAAATAAATAAATAAAATCTTAAAAAAAAAAAAGATAGATGCATTGGAGAGCTGAATGCTTCCAGATTCCTAAAACTGCTTGTCCCTTCCCCCTAGTCCTTTACAGGGGTTTCACCCACCCCTAATTCAGCAGCATTGTTATTGAGTAACTCACCTCCATCTACACAGACAAGTAGTTTCCAAAGTATTCATCCTAAATTTCACAGAAATAAGAACTTTAATGGTTGTATTTCACTAATTTATAACATTTAATTAAATGATGTGATAGGAGTCTAACCCACATAAGTGGATCTGAGAACAAATCCCAGGAACTTCAGTGCTATCTCGGGTCGGCCAGTGGGCTGCAGCTCAGTTAGCCTTGTGAATATGCTAAGGGGAGACCAGTGAAGAGTATGTGGCAGGGACTGGCTGGTTTTTCTCCAAGTTCCTTTTCTACCTCCAGGGGCATACAGCGAGACCTCGTATTCCAGCCTTCCTTGTAGTAAGTGTGGCCATGGGACTGAATCCTAGGCAATGGAATTTTTTTAAAAAAAGATTTAATTCATTTATTTGACACAGAGAGTGAGACAGCGGGAGAGGGAACACAAGCAGGGGGAGTGGGAGAGGGAGAAGCAGGCTCTCGGCTGAGCAGGGAGCCTGACACTGGGCTTGATCCTGGGATTATGACCTGAGCCCAAGGCAGATGCTTAAGGACTGAGCCACCCAGGTGCCCCTAGCCAATGGAATTTAAGTGAAAGGGAGGAATGCCTCTTCTAGGTTGGGCCCACAGAAACCTCCCCACTGCCACCCTCCAGTTTTCATTCCTCTTCTGCTAATTTGAGATAGACCACACCTTGGAAGTCAGCAATAGAGACAGCGGAGGCAGAAGACACCAGGAGACTGGGTCCCTAGCTCTCTGCTTGGAGGACCTGCTGATCAAGAATATCACGTTTGGACTTTGAGAAAGATACCACCTTCTGTAGTGCTTGAGCCAGTGTGTGTTTCTGGGCTTGCTCATTACATACAGCAGCTAGCCTCATTGTAACTGATCTAGAGCTTCTACCTGATGGCCACAGAGGAAGATAAGTCTTTCAGTGTGGATTATCTAGTTAAGGGAATTAATTAGGTTAATTAGTCTGATGACGTCATTACCCTACAGAAATATCCTTTTTTAAAAAAAAAGCAGCTGGATTTAGGTTCCTTGCGTCTTTATTCATTCCATGAACCTGCACGGAGGACTATTGCCTGTCAGTCTCTGCAAATATGCAGTGAACAACATAGACAAAGATGTCTGTTCTCCAAGAGCTCAGGGGAGAGACAGATATATGCAAAATTAAGAATGTTAGAGATGTTGGACAGCGATGTATGCTATGAAGGAAAGTCAGGCAGGGAAGGTGGACTGAGCATGAGGGGAGAGAGAGGGAGTTGTCTGTGGTTTTCACTGCTCCAGTCAAGGAAGGCCTCAGTGAGAGGGTGACGTTTGAGCAAAGACTTGCAGGTGGTGAGAGAGTGAATCACGTAGTGTCTGGAGGAAGAACACAGGTTAGAATTCTACTTCCATTACCCAGTTTCAAAAGTCAAGTCTGGGTTGGGGTGGGGGAGGACCCCTGAATGTGGCTGCCCGTGATGCTCCCTTCTTCTCCTGCCCTCTGGACCAGCATCTTGGGTATGTCCAAGGGCACCAAAGACCTGGCCCTGGCACCCATCGATGTGGCTGTCTTCACCCCTCTTTCCATGGCGTGGGGCCTCCTGTGGGCATCGACCCTTTAGTATGTTTGCACTCCACCCTCCAGTCCAAAGCCAGGCTCCTTCCGTCTCAGTGCTGTGTCTGTCCTGGCAGCTTGATCAGGGAGTGTAATTAACTTGACCAAATTCGCAGAGCTAGTAAGCATCTTTATTCAGTGAATAGACCCATTGGTCCATTGTCTCTAATTCCTCTACCCTTTATATTCCCTCTTTCTACACTTTGGATAGAATAGAATTTTTGGTACATGTCCCATAGAAGACGCCTTATATTCCAGTTACATCCTCAAAATGCCAAAGTCAGTCTTCTGGATTGGTGCGTTGAGGGCCGCACTAAGACTGAGACCCAGCACCAGTCTGGTGTTCACTGGATCAATAATCCCATCATCCCACAGCCTTGCACTGCAGTAGTAAGGGTCTCCTTCCTCTTCAAACCTCTTAATGATGGGCTCTTTTAAGGCTGCTTCATCAGCACTGGAGAATTGTTTCCCTTTACGTGCTCTTTGGTCCTTTGCTACTGTGGCCAACACATTGGCTGCCTGCTCTCCTCCCATCACTGAGATGTGAGCGTTTGGCCACAGGTAGAGGAAGCTTGGGCTATATGCTCTGCCACACATCCCATAGTTTCCAGCCCCGTAAGATTCCCCCAGTGATGACAGTTATCTTAGGCACTTTGGCACAGGCTACAGCAGCCACCATCTTGGCACCATCCTTGGCAATTCCTTCAGCTTCATATTCTCTACCGACCATAAATCTGGTAATGTTTTGAAGGAACAGCAGGGACAGAATTGTTTGTTTGTTTTAAAGATTTTTAAAAAAACTTATTTATTTGACAGAGAGAGAGAAAGCACAAGCAGGGGGAGTGGCAGAGAGAGGGAAAGGGAGAAGCAGGCTCCCCATAGAGCAGGGGGAGCTCGATGTGGGACTCGATCCCAGGACTCCAGGATCATGACCTGAGCCGAAGGCAGTCGCTTAACCAACTGAGCCACCCAGGCGCCCGAATTGTTTGATATTTATCCGTTTGATGATGTTTGGCAGATAAGCCCCCAAACTGTAAATTCTGTTTAAAACAAAGGGCCACCTGATTACAATAATCAACTACGCAATCACTGAGACACCCATGTGTATTGAAATAGACAAGGGAATAAAGACAGATATGCCCTCTGTACCTGACACCTAATTTTATATAGCCAATTAATGGATACATTTCAGTAAAGGGAGAGAGGTTACTTTTTGCTTTTCTTATTTAAATGAATTTATTCTTTCACGGAATGGCTCTATGGGATTTCTTTTTCACAGTAGTCATGATTTACTCCTTGTCCTGTTGTTTCAGGAAACGCAGTTTGGATCTTAAAGACTGAGGCTTGCAGCTTTGCAAGGGATTTGAGGTTGGCATTCATCATGATGTTAGAAAAGTTCTCCACGGAGGGAAGAAGCCTACTAAATATGTACTCTCTTGAAACCATACTTTCAGTTAAAGAGGACTTCAAAAGACAAAAAAGTGGCATTTATATAATGACTTTCTGGGAATTTTGCTCCAACTTTTACTGCAGTTAAAAATCAACAATCTCCTTCCATTATCTGTTAATGATTCCAGAACAGGGCTAATTCAGTTGGTTAGGAGGAAAGCCACATGTGAAGCTGAGCTGGAAGACTGGGCTCTGGGGCTTGGAGAGTGGAGGCAAATTCCTGCCAACTGGAGAGAGGAGGTGGCTTTGGGGGCTCTAGGTGAGTGAGGCCTTGGGGGCTCTCTTGCCCTTTGGAAGCCTTAGCCATGGAGTGATCCTCCACCTCCTGCAAGGTACAGAGCTGGGGGAGAAGCCTTAAGTGAAGAAGAGGGCAGGGCCCTTTTCACCCCGTTTCCGAGCTCTGAGACCATTGGCCCATTCCCAGAGGTGGAATGGTCTCTGGGCCCCCACTTTTTCCAGCAACTCCCCCAAACCACACTGGCTTTGGAGGACACAAAGGTACCTCCCTTTCTCTCTTGGAGGTTTTATTTATGTCCTATTCTCTTCTTCGAAGGTGCTCAGGTACACTTAATGGCCCATCCCTTATGCACCCACAAAAACCTTAAGACCAGAGTAGAATAATTCTGATTGAGAGCTGAAAAAGATGAGGGAGGCTGAAGATATGGGAGAGATACTCTGGGTGAGTTTAAGGCATAATAAAAAATAAAAACAGAAACAAAAAACCACCAGCTCAACAAAAGGCACACATTTCCATAGCGCTAAACTCCCAGTGAAGCATAGGGCATTTGAAAGCTGACTTATGATAACATAATGGTGTCTTTAACAGATACTTGAGGAATAGAGATAATCTTCACATGATCATTTTTCATATTTTACAAAAGCCCTTGGCATATAATTATTATAAACCCTATCTTTGTGACAACATTTCCATTTGAGCAAGAAAATGTCAGCACAGTTGACCCTTGAACAGCCGATTAACACATATTCTGTATGCTATATGTATTATATACTACGTTCTTTTTTTATACTATATTTTTTCAATTAAATAAGCTAGAGGAAAGAAAGTTATTAAGAAAATCATAAGGAAAATAAATTTACGCTACTGTACTGTGTTTATTGAAAAAAATTCATGTATAAGCGGGCCTGCATGGTTCAAGCCCGTGTTGTCAAGGGACAGCTGTATATAGTTTTAGATGAAGCTAGACCAAGAGGCATGTGTGTATTTGTTCCCAGCTCTCTGTATATTCTGCATGCCCTTGCCACCACATTGCACCAGGCAGCCTGTTCTCTGCCTCATTTCCTCAGGTGACGCCTATAGCACAGTGGAAAGCAGAGTGCGGGCAACTCTTTCTGGCTCTTGTCCTCCGAGGGCTAAACTTTGGCTTATACAGCAAAGAGAAATTCCCAGGGCCCGGGGATTCCGCTGTGCTCCCTCCCCATAGTTCCCCATCTCCTAGCAATTAGATGGGTCATGTGACTTGCTCTGGCCAATGGGTTACGAGTGGAAGCAAACGTGAATGCATCAATACAATTGTGTGTGTATAGGTGCATGTTTTTTAACACAAAATGCACTATACTGCATGTATATGTTCTGCAATTTGATTAAAAGAATCTCAACAGTACACCTTGGAACTTTTCTATATTGTAACAAAAAAACATCATCTTTTAAACTGCTATCATATCACAATGAGAATATACCATAATTTCAGTCACTCCCTTATTGGTGGACATGGAGGTGATTTCCATTATTTTGCTTTTTTGCATTATAAAAAATTTATTCCATTCTTCTTCATTTACTAAAAGACTGGTTCATTAGTTCATAGACTAAAAGGCATCCAGTTCTTTTGAAAACAATGGCACATTGCAAACTTAATAGGAAGTGTGGGAGGGAGGGGTAATTAGAGAACAGACCTGCTTTATGCCATTTAATGTTGAGATGTGTGCTGTTAAAAACTGATTCAAATCTAGTGAGGTTTTCACTGTGGCATCAAGGAAACCTAGCAGTGGAATTGCTTGGCAGAAAGGTAGGTACTTTCAACAATTTTAAAACAATGATTAAAAAATCTTCTGTTAAATTCCATTTACTACTGTTTTACCTAGCGTTTTTACAATTAAATTCATCAATGAGAATGTTCTAATTCTTCTAATGCTATCCTTCTCCTCCCTTTCTTCTCTCTCTTCACTCCTGAAGAAGTAGGAGTATTGATCTAATTGGATCAGATTCCAGGATGTTGATGGTGCCAAGTTTACGAGTGTGAAATTATCCACCAGGTGTGTTTCTCTCTCTGGCACTTTGCTCTTTCCCCAGGGGGAAAAGAGGGAAGCCAAACCAGGGCTTACTGCTTCTAGTGGGCAGGACCTCTTTTTTTTTTTTTTTTTAAAGATTTTATTTATTTATTTGACAGAGACAGAGACAGTGAGAGAGGGAACACAAGCAGGGGGAGTGGGAGAGGGAGAAGCAGGCTTCCCGTGGAGCAGGGAGCCTGATGTGGGGCTCAATCCCAAGACCCTGAGATCATGACCTGAGCCAAAGGCAGACGCTTAACGACTGAGCCACCCAGGTGCCCCAAGTGGGCAGGCCCTCTTTTCTTTCTTCCTCGCACATAAGCTGTGCTACATATTTGCCCACCAGGCATGGTAAGGAGCTGGTAGAAAGACCTGAGCTTAGAAGGGGACAGAGGCCCTAGCTCTGTGCCCAAGTCCTGTACCCACATAGGGTTGCTGGGTCAACCTGCCCTTGGGTTGGAGGGACCTAAAACAGGGAAACACCTGTTGCCCATTGCCATTGGCCTGTGTGTGTACTTCTCTCCTCGGAAACCGTAAGAAGGGGATGACCCAGCCGAGGCAAGATTCAGGCCCATTCTTGAATATAATTTCCATATGATCAAACTCTCATCCAGGAGTATTGTCTTTGCCAGCTTTTAGTATAAGTATCTATTTTGAAGAGTGATTTTAAATTTCCAAATGTTTGGAACTTTTTGTTTAGATGAAATATTATTCAATTCTTTCTCATTTACTTATTAGGATATAGTAATAGACTAAAAGGCATCCAATTCTTTTAAAAACAATGGCACATTGCAAACATTAACAAAAACAAACAAACAAACAAAGGAAGTGTGGGAGGGAGGGGTAATTAGAAAACAGACCTGCTTTATGCCATTTAATGTTGAGGTGTGTGCTGTTAAAAACCCATTCAAAACCAGTGAGGGGTTTTCACTGTGGCATCAATATCCAGTTCTAAATGAACACTGTACAACTGGGATGATGGAAAATTTCTTTTGGAGGAAATAAGGGCCAACAATTGATCAACACAGCATCTAATTAAGGGGGCAGGGTACTGAGACAGATTGCTTGGGTTCAAATTCTGGGTTCACAATTCGCTAGCTGAGTGGCCTTGGGGGAGTTGCTTAATCTTATGTTTTAGTTTATTAATCTGTAAAGTGGGAATAATCATGGTATTTTCCTCCTGGGGCTTTTGCAAGGATTGGAAGAAGCGATATATTTAAAATGCTTAGAACACTGTCAGGCATTCAGTTAAGTTCTAGCTATTGTTTTGCATGTTGGCGAACCTTGAACGTTGTAATTATCAAGAGTAGAACAGTTATGTCTTACAGCAGAAAAGATGTTAAGATTGAGAGCCACAGGTTTGCAGTCACTCCCCAAATAGTGAACCATGAACTGCAGAACATCATAGGCGACACAAATGTCCATTTGGACTTTTGCCTTCCTCTGCTCTCACCCATCCACCTCTCTCAAGGCAGCCCCTGACAGCCCAAACACCCTGGACCAACAGTGCCCAGCAAGGCTCAACGGTGACTGCAGTCTGACTTAGTTGCTCCATTCCCCCTGCTTTCCCCAGCCTTCGTCTTCCAAGGGAGTGCTTTTGTGTTAAGTCCATCTCAGACTCTTTCTCACCCTATAAATGATGCCCTTGAGTCAATATTCTACTGTTCGCCTGGTTCCCGTTCTTGCAGTGGGGTTAGGAAAACCGCTTTTTCTCCCTTGGTTTCATCGACCTCCGCCCACCCCCCAAAAGATTCTAATCATGATCATAAGCACATGTAGTGCCAGTAATAGACTTGTTTAAAGAAAAAGAAAAACCATTCAACCTGAAAAAACAGCACAAGGGTCAAATAACAACGGAAGAGCTCTCACAAGGCAGTACACCATTGCCAAGAGTGCCAACTGCCAACTGATGCTCTGAGTCTGGACAGGGGGAGAACAATTATTGTGGCTTGAGTGTCCATGGAAGCTCTTCTCTCTTTAAGAAGAGATAAGAGCTTGAGCTGACCCTGAGGAGACCTGGGGCTCTGTGGCTCCCAAGCTGGTGTAATCCAGGCGAAAGGGGAGGGGGTCTGAGTAAAGTTATGTGGTCGGAGGCAGGGACCAGGCTAGTATCTCTGCTGGAGCATTTATGTTGTGGGCAGTGGCAGAGTCTGAAGCTAAGGTTGGGAGTGACACGATAAATGCCAATTATTAAGGTTAAGATCTGTGAAATGTAAATCCAAAGCAAATGTGTTCAAGTTCAGAACAATGATATATCACAACTGTGCTAAAGGTATTCTTATTCCAGACCACGCCACACACAAAAATGAGGTGAACCATCCTGTGGCTAGCTGAACTGAAGTCAGAATCAACTATGCAATACTTCAAAAGGACCTCAACTTCCGCTTACTTGTCTATCTATACTTTAAGTAATTAATGCTTAACATTTTCATATGAACTTACGCATGCAGGCACATACATATAATTGACAAAAGCATAGAGTCATCTGCAGTCACTTGCATGTAAGTGGCAAGTGTCTCAGGGAAGGGAGAATGCATGGGATGAAGGTGAGGACAGGAGTGCCTGTGTGACTATGTAAGGCAGCGGGTTTGGCTGTGTGAATGCTATGCCCTCTAACCCGTGAGACCCAATAACATTAGTCTGGCAGGGTGTGGACAGCCAGGATTACTGTGGCATTGGCAAATGTGGGTGTGGCTGCTGTAGTACTTCCCTTCTGAACACAATCTTTTAGTACTGTTGAATTTTTGTTTGTTCTTTGGTGGTGTGGCTGCAGGTGTCATCTATAAGGCCAGTGGTATACAACCTGATAACTTTATGGAACGATTTGTGATCTGAGATCAAACCTGTTAGTACTTTTTTTAAAAAAGATTTTATTTATTTACTTGACAGAGAGACGGCGAGAGAGGGAACACAAGAAGGGGGAGTGGGAGAGGGAGAAGCAGGCTTCCCGCTGAGCAGGGAGCCCGATGCGGGGCTCGATCCCAGGACCTTGAGATCATGACCTGAGCTGAAGGCAGACGCTTAACGACTGAGCGACCCAGGCGCGCCAAACCTGTTAGTACTTTTAAAGTTACAAAGGCATTAAAAGAATGTAGGAAAAATAACATCCTGTGGATGAAGTAGACTTTTTTTTAGGGGGGGGCAGAATTTTTCAGTTTTTTTTTTTTTTTTTAAATTTTATTTATTTGACACAGAGAGAGACACAGCGAGAGCAGGAAGACAAGCGGGGGGTGGGGGGTGGAAGAGGGAGAAGCAGGCTTCCGGCGGAGCAGGGAGCCCGGTGAGGGGCTCCATCCCAGGACTCTGGGCTCATGACCTGAGCCAAAGGCAGCCGCTTATCGACTGAGCCACCCAGGCGCCCCCAGAATTGTTCAGTTCTACTGTTAACCATGTTTTTATTAGATCTTTGACAAAAACCTACAAATGATCTGGTCACTTTTTGAGTTTTAAAATCTAAATCCACACTTTAATACCCCAACATAGTAAAACAATACTTGCCTGTGGGATCTTTTATTAAGGATTTAAAGATGCTTTTCATTAAGCACAAATTTATTTCCAAGTGACTGAAAAACCACAGGTCTCTATTTTGAGCTCCTTGCTTACTTGACACGGTAAAAATTAGGGTTAAAAATAAAGCCGAATGGAGAAAACAATGCTATAAGAATACTCCTAGCTAATAGATAAGGGTATTTTTGGTAACTGGCAGCCCCTCCTCCAAAACTGCAGCTCAGTCTCACCTGTCTGAGCTTCACTCACACTCGCTCCACCGCTGAGCGATCCGTAACTAACTGCCCCACCTCTTTAAGCTTCTTTCCCTCAACTGTAAAATGAAGAATAGCTCTTCACACCGTTCGGGTGAAAATTAAACAAAATTACGCAGATGTAAGTGCTCTGCACGCTTTAAAGTAGGTACAGAAGTTAACTGTCATGTTTCCTGTGGTGCACTAGCCTCCCTCCCGCCTTGGGCGCCTTTCTCCACGATTTGCTCGCGCTCTCGCCCCTGACCCGGGCTCTTCTGCGTGTTTATCTTCTTGTTAACTTAATTAATAGATATTCACCGCCGTTAATTTTCTCGGCAACAGTAAGCGCAGGGGACAATGCCATCCGCCCTGTCCCCTAGCGTGGGGCTCTTGCTTTGGGTCCCAAAGTGCCTTGGGGATCCCGGACACCCGCTGTCGCCACCTCGCCCCTGAACTCGCTTCGGAGCCCCGCCCCTACGCCCCGCTGGCCCCGCCTCCCCTGGGCGCGCGCTCTGGGGGCGGGGCCGGCTCAGAGAGCCGCTCCGTGATTGGCCGCGTCCGAGTAACCGAGGCGACGCCGTGGTCCACACGCCGTGCGGTGCGCGCTGGGGTCACAGAGAAATCGAACGTCTGGAATAATTCTTCGCGCCAAGCGGCGACCCTTCGCCTGCTGGAGTTGCTGCTTTATCAGCCAGCGGGATGCGCGCCTCACCGGCCCTTTGGGGTCACAGGGCCCCCAGAGAATGGGAGGGCGGCTGCTAAACAGGAACCTTCTTGTCTTTCATCCGACAGATTGCCTAGTAAGTGGGGTGCGATCCCTTCCACGCCAGAATCTTCGAGGCGCCGAGGTTTCCAGCAACCTGTGTAGGGAAAGCTTGGAATTAGGCAGTTTCCGACTTGCACTGCCCTCCACAAAAGTTCAGCCACTTTCCCAGGTTCACTGAACCACTCTTTGGGTCAGGCTGAGACACAGGTACCCGACCCCTCCTGTTGCAAAGCTCTTGCCACCTTACCCCACTCACAGCAAAGCTCAGCTGCTCTGCTGGAGAACCAGCTTTCTTGGTTTCTGTCTTACCATAGGCCAACAGTAATAAGGTGAAGTGCACGTGGGCTTTGGAGTTAATACAGGAACCAGGAGAAATTTATTTTTAAGAAATAGTAATAACATGAATAGCCTAAAAGAAAGGGATCTGCGTGGATTACAGCTTTCTACAACTTTCTGGTCTGGAACATCCTCTGGCTCTCTTCCATTCTACAAGTACGTGGTTTTCCACAGTCACATCATTAAGACAAGCCCCATTTTCTTTTCCTCTTTTTATATGGGCATACAACTTAGTTTTAGTTTCCACTTTTATCTTCCTGGGAGCTCTTGGTTTCTTTCTTCTCAGAATGACCTTCCTAGAGCAGACCTATTATCCTTAGATTTTCTTTTCTTGACCCCATTTTCTCAACTGTGGGCCAGTCCATTTCAGTCTCCTTGCCTCTGCCCACATTATTTGAGCAGATGATCACAGGCTAGACTTGCTCCTCAGGGCAGGAGCATGGAGCGAGGAGTAGATTAAGGGTTTCTGGGGGAGAGTTTCAACAGGATACCCATGGGGCTTCATCCCAGCTTCCTTTCTTCCTGGAAAAATTGTAATTCAAAACTCACATAAATCACAAGATACATCCACCTAATCTAGACTTCATTTTCAGCAAGGACTAACAAGGATATAGGAAATTGTGGGTGTTGATAATAAAACAGAAGTATACCCAATGTTTAAGCTGAATTAATGGACTTGAATCTCTGCGTTGTGCCTCAATCTCTGACCATATAGGACCTACTCTATTAAGCCATGCGAACTTCCTCAAAGTGCTCACCTCAGGATGACCTGGGGCATCTCTTGGCTGCCCCCTGTGGGCAGACTTTAGCAGCACAGGCTGACTGCCCTTGGGGCCTCTGGTTCCCTTAGTTGGGGCCTTTACTTGTGCCCACTTAACCTTTCTATTTTTTCCCCATGCTCTGCCTGCCTGCTCCTACCTTCAGCTCAGACTTTCACTTTTTTCCCCCTGTTTATACTTTTTCATTCTCTTTTGGAAATCCCTTCCTATTTCCCCAAATTTTGCTCTTGGGATAGCTTTTAAAACAGGGCAGTGTTCTTCTGGATTTTTTTGTTTCTTGCTTCTGGATTCCTCGGTTCCCCAATTTGTAATAACCTCAGATGAAGAAATCCTGAAAAATCACAGTAATAATAGTAACAACAAAGTAATATCTGGAAAATAGTATGTCTCTACAGTATGACAGCTATTTCCTGATATTAGCCTTGTTTGAACTAAAAAATCACTGCCTTGTTTGAAAATCAGTATTCTCAGTAATTCTGAGTGATCAGTTTAATTCAACTCAGCACTCTTACAAAGTGCCTGCTGTATTTAAGGCACTGTGCTGAGGACATTCATATAGTTTGTCCCTGTAGTCACTGAACCTTCTTTTAGTCTAGAGAGGATGAATCTGAAGTGCCCAAGGTCATGTTGGTGAAGTGTCAAAGCGAAAGTTGGAGCTTTGCTGGGGAGATGCTGCAGAAGATTGGTGAGGGGGTCTGGAGAGGCTTAATGGAGGAGGTAGAGCTTGAAATGGGCCTTGAAGGTTAAGATTTCACATAAGAGAACCACCTGAGACCAGCTTGGAGCTAGGAAAGCAGGGGGGCA